AACTTTTGCACCCAGCTAATATTTGTTTCCATCATAGCTTGCTTGTGTTAGTCGAACTGGTGACATAGATAAAACATCAAGACGTGCTATTATTATATAATACGCGATATTTGCTGAGTGATTAAACCTATTTACCACTAAAGCTACAACTATGCTCAGAAGGACGACATTCTAATGGCGTAATGAGAATTACCTGACTAGATCTCAGTCATCGCAAGTATAGATGGGACTGGCGCAACATTTCCCTATTTGCGAAAAACCTATAACAAATTTGCTATAGAGCAAAAAACAAGCGAGCTGTGATCTTTAACAAAATATTTACAAGAATTCTCGTCGGAGACACCGAATTTTTGTAAACACTTCATTTACACTAATAAACACAAAATCTATTTCATTTCATCAGAAAAAAAGAAGAACCACATCTTTTCATCAGATAGAAAAAACCACCACCAATGACAGACACATACAGCCTGTCTCAATCGTGATGGTTTGGTTCATCGACTTGCCAGAGTTTCGCGGCCATTTGCGCGTGCATTGCGGGCGGGTGGCATGCGCATGCGTAATTCCCGCGCAAAAAAGCCCTTGTGATTGAGACAGACTGTACTTCACAACTCCACTGCCTATGGAACTATTTCTAAGCTCGTTCTGGTCGTAAATACTTGACTACTACATGATCCAAGCCAAATTTACTAAACAGCCGAAGTTAGACAAAACTTCAAAAGGTTCGAATTATTCTCTATTTGATGCTTTTGCTTTTACTCATCGCTTTTTCGGCAAGTGCTTTCTTTTGAAACTCGGCCATGCGACGTTCCAATTCAGGACGGAAATGACGGATCAGACCTTGCACAGGCCATGCTGCAGCATCGGCCAAGGCACAAATCGTGTGTCCTTCGATCTGTTTGGTGATTTCCCATAACATATCAATTTCACTCGGATCCGCATTGCCATCCACAAATCGCCACATAACTTTGTCCAACCAGTTGCAACCTTCTCTACAGGGCGTACATTGTCCGCAGGTCTCATGTTTATAAAAAGTGGATAGACGAGCAATGGCTTTGACTACGTCGGTTTGCTTATTCATGACAATGACAGCAGCAGTTCCAAGGCCTGAATTTACTTCGAGGAGGGCGTCATAGTCCATCAGCACAGTTTCACAGATATTCTTGGGCAAAAGTGGGACGGACACGCCTCCGGGGATAATGGCTAGCAAATTGTCCCATCCACCGATAACTCCACCGGCATGTCGTTCGATAAGTTCCTTGAGCGGGATGGACATCTCTTCCTCAACCGTACATGGATGATTGACATGTCCAGAAATGCAGTAAATCTTGGTCCCATGGTTCCGCTCACGTCCAAATGAGGCGTACCAATCTCCACCTCTGCGGCAGATAGTCGGGGAGGAGGAGATGGTCTCCACATTCGAGACAGTCGTTGGACAGCCGAAAAGGCCAATATCGGCCGGGAAC